AAAAAAAAAAAAAAAAAAAAAAACACACCAAAAGAAATGAAAGGAAAAGAATAAACATGGTGAAAAAGGTTTTTTCTATTGGCTGTTGGTAATATCAATATACGGAATTTCCCTTTGGGATTAATAAAGTATTATTGAACTGATTTAAGTCCAATAGGGGTATAAACCAGGACATGACACAAATGCAATTTTAAAAACAGAACAGCTTTAATGAATAAACACAAATCTTTATTGTCTGGATCTATTCCCTTTTCACTCCTCGCCCATGGCCGTCTTGATTATATCCGCTCGTATCCGTTTGGCTGCTTCTTCAAACTTGGCCATGGCCTCATTCCCGACTTTGTTCTGTGAAGAAAAGTGTGAAACAGTTCAAGCTGAGCTATATGGTAACTTTTAGCAGCAATAATTCATTAGGGTTGAAATAAAAATGAACATACAATGATCAATTTTAGCCTCTCCTTGTCGAGTTTGTTGAATTCTTCCACAGTCAGCTCTTCTACAGTTTTCTTCAGAGCAATAAAGTTGCAGGATGGTGAATGAGATTTGTGTTCCTCCCTGATAAAAACAAAACAGCCTCAGTAATTACAGACATTTGCAAACCTTCAGCCACTAAAAATGAGAAAGTCGTTTTATGTGTCATTATATATAGAACTCAAACCATCTATCTTCTGTCCCGCTGATCAGAAGCGGGCTCCCGGGGGGTGCTGGGCTCATCTCCAGCTGTCTACAGGTGAGAGGTCTGGACAGGTCGCCAGTCCATCACAAGGCGACCCAGAGATAAACAGGACAAAAGGCACACACTCACACCTAAGGAGGATTTTTAGAGAAACCGATTAACCTAACAGTCATGTTTTTAGACTGTGGGAGGAAGCCGGAGTACCCCGAGAAAACCCAGTCATGCTCAGGGAGAACATGCAAGCTCCATGCAGAAAGACCGGGAATCGAACCCAGAACCTTTTGATGCACCACTGAGCAGCCCTACAACTCAAACCATGTTCTTTTCAAATAAAATGTCTTCAAGGAAGAAAATGTGATGATAAGGGTTCCAACCTAATCAGATCTCACTCAGCATTTAATAAACAGCCTGCCAGCCAGACTGACTCACATGAAG